TTGGGACAGTCACTTTGTCAAGGCTATTGAACTGAATTGGTAAATGGATACTTTCTAAATACGTCTCAGGTTAGGTACTTGAGTGATTTTACCATCTTGTTGCTTATTTAATTATGTTTACTCTTCATTCTTGTATTTTAGAATTATCTGACATTTTCATTTATTGAAATCTTTGATATTTACTACCGGCAATTAAGTTGCCAGTCCGCGTTGGATCGTATTGTATTGGGCGGGCTGCAGTCCCTTTATACGGGTATTTATTCAAGGTCTGTTCATTGTTCAGGTCTTCTGATCTTTAGTTCTGATGCATATTTCATATTTTGTTAGTGGGAGAGTTATTTTGTAAATATTTATTAATGTTACCCGGGTTTTGTTTGTTTATTGATTGAAGAATAATCAGTAATGAACACACTGAGTTAGAAGCATTTTTAACGGCTTAAAAATTAATGGCAGGGGTATTTGTCATTGAAAATAAATAAATAAGTAACTACTTTACTTTGCTTACACTGGGATTATATTTCATAAAGCTTTAATTTCATCTGCCCATTTTTCAGGTACGACATATAAATGTAGAATGAATTGTTGGCAGAAATTAATATACAGTTTTATAATAGAACATGTTGAAAGATGATTTTTCTTGTTGAGGGTGGAAAAAAGCTTGTAAAATTAGCATGATATGTAATATGCTCTTATAAAATGTAAAAAATAATTTTGTTTTTGATGTTTTGAAATAAATTCAAATCTGTAGAGCATATTTTTTTCCCAAAAAGGCATGCAGTGACAAATTAACCCTTTACAGCTGTAGAGTAGAGTTACTGGGAGTGACCTGATTGGGCCAGGCCAGCCTGTACTTCCATGCAGTTTGACCAAGCTTTGTGCTGTTGGGTAGGGGAGGGGTCTGTGCATTCATCATCTCCAGTGAAAAAAACTTCGAAATAGAGCCAACCTTATTTTATCAGTTTTTGTGCTATTTTTTTATGCTTCTGAGAGACTGCCAGAAGACACAAAACAAAAATCAGGTTGGGCAACAATAGGTTGTTCTCTTTTTTCATTGAAATCAATATTTACAGTAATATAATTCTAGTTAGATATCAACAAATGCTAAAAGGTGATCAACAAACAAAAAACATAATAACCGTTTATAAATTATTAAAACCTGTAACTTAATAGTCATTCAGCGAACATAATGCAAGGTCATATACTAATGTACTATGATTCTACAAAATATTTTAAATATTCATGCTTCGATATTTTATGAACCATTTTATTTTTTTCCAGGAAAATAGGTTTATAGAACTAATTTAATAATGACTGTGCTTTTAAAACCTGTTAAAAGTGTTTTATGTGTCAGCATTGTTTGGCATCAGACATTTGAATATTCTGCGACCTTATGCTACTTATTTGGATTCCGATGTAAATCTTTTAAGTTTTTATTATGAATATGGATTTTAAAGTGTATAATGAAATTAAAGAACATTTACCTCCCAAAAATTAATCAGTCTCAGGTAATATAGATGTTATCTGGAACTGTAATAGCAATACCAAGTTTACACCCAGAGTAAATTTGGGAAAACCCCATATTTATGTAGTTCCAGATTATTTGTATTGCTAAGCTATATTTCTGTGCTCCCTCAAACACATGGAGGACTCTGCATTGTTTGTTTTTCAACAAAAAACTAAATCAGTATTTGAACATGGGTCATGTCAGGTTAAAGTTACAAAATAAATTCCTAGATTCTATTGACATGACATTGACACTTGGATGGCTGGGTCAAGGTCAAGTTCACTGTGGTCAAAAACTTTTACTGAAATTATCTTCATACTTAGGGAAACCTGTGTCAGAATGGACATGGAAGTGTTTATAAGCAGCCATATTTTTTTTCTCTTATTTAAATCTTCGCTTAGTACCATCTAAATGCTGGAACTGAAAGCTATTAACCTTTGCCAATTAACAGTATAGAGCCAGGCCAGCCTGTACATCTGTGTAGTCTTACCAGACTGTATACTGTTGACTCAGACCAACTTCAAAATTTTAGCCGCGTCACGACAAAACCAACATAATGTGTTGGCGACCAGCATGGATCCAGACCAGCCTGCGCATCCGCACAGTCTGATCAGGATCCATGCTGTTCGCTATCAGTTTCTCTACTTGTGATAGGGTTTGTAAGCGAACATCATGGATCCTGATCAGACTGCGCGGATGCGCAGGCTGGTCTGGATCCATGCTGGTCGCAAACACATTATGTTGGTTTTGTCTTGACGCGGCTCATTTTTAGCTCACCTGTCACAAAGTGACAGGGTGAGCTTTTGTGATCACTTTTCGTCCGGCGTCCGTCCGTCCGTCGTCCGTCGTCCGTCCGTAAACTTTTGCTTTAAATGACATCTCCTCATAAACCACTGAGCCAATTTCATTCAAACTTCACAGGAATGTTCCTTTGGTGGTCACCTTTAAAAATTGTTCAAAGAATTTAATTCCATGCAGAACTCTGGTTGCCATGGCAACCAAAAGAAAAATCTTTAAATATCTTCTTTTAAACAACCCTAAGAGCTAGAGCTTAGATATTTGGCATGAAACATCTTCTAGTGAGTGTCTACCAAGTTTGTTCAAATAAAAGCCCTGGGGTCAAAATTGGCCCCGCCCCTGGGGGTCATTGATTTTCCCTATATGCATATAGTAAAAACTTAAAATCTTCTTTTAAAGAACCCAAAGAGCTAGAGCTAAGATATTTGGCATGAAACATTTTCTAGTGAGTGTCTACCAAGTTTGTTCAAATAAAAGCCCTGGGGTCAAAATTGGCCCCGCCCCAGGGGGTCATTGATTTTCCCTATATGCATATAGTAAAAACTGAAAAATTCTTCTTTTAAAGAACCCAAAGAGCTAGAGCTTAGATATTAAGCATGAAACATCTTCTAGTGAATGTCTACCAAGTTTGTTCAAATAAAAGCCCTGGGGTCAAAATTGGCCCCGCCCGGGGGTCATTGATTTTCCCTATATGCATATAGTAAAAACTTAAAAAATCTTCTTTTAAAGAACCGTAAGAGCTAGAGCTTAGATATTAAGCATGAAACATCTTCTAGTGAATGTCTACCAAGTTTGTTCAAATAAAAGCCTGGGGGTCAAAATTGGCCCCGCCCCAGGGGGTCATTGATTTTCCCTATATGCATATAGTAAAAACTTAAAAAATCTTCTTTTAAAGAACCCAAAGAGCTAGAGCTAAGATATTAAGCATGAAACATCTTCTAGTGAGTGTCTACCAAGTTTGTTCAAATTAAAGCCCTGGGGTCAAGATTGGCCCCGCCCCGGGGGGTCATTGATTTTCCCTATATGCATATAGTAAAAACTTAAAAAATCTTCTTTTAAAGAACCATAAGAGCTAGAGCTTAGATATTTGGCATGAAACATCTTCTAGTGAATGTCTACCAAGTATGTTCAAATAAAAGCCCTGGGGTCAAAATTGGCCCCGCCCCAGGGGGTCATTGACTTTTCCTATATGCATATAGTAAAAACTTAAAAAATCTTCTTTTAAAGAACTCAATAAGCTAGAGCTAAGATATTTAGCATGAAACATGTTCTAATGGGTGTCTACCAAGTATGTTCAAATAAAAGCCCTGGGGTCAAAACTGGCCCCGCCCGGGGGGGGGGGGGATCATTGATTTTCCTTATATGTGTATAGCAAAAACTTAAAAATCTTCTTTGAAAAAACCCAAATAGCTAGAGTTTAGATATTAAGCATGAAACATCTTTAAGTAAATATCTACAAAGTTTGTTCAAATAAAAGCCCGGGGGTCAAAACTGGCCCTGCCCCAGGGGTGTCATTGTTTTTAACTATATGTGTATAGTAAAAACTTTAAAAATCATCTTTTAAAAAACTCAATGAGCTAGAACTTAGATGTTTAGCATGAAACATCTTATGGGTGTCTACCAAGTCTGTTCAAATAAACAAATAAAAGCCCTTGGGTAAAAATTGGCCCGGGGGTGGGGGGGGGGCCTATATACAGGTGAGCGACCTCAGGGCCATCATGGCCCTCTTGTTTATCTTGATATCCCCATATGATGTTCCAAATTCCAAATATTGAAGCTGGATTAGGTCCATGGAATTTCACAGGTTGATTCTTTGGGAAAAGTTATTTCACAAATAATTTAACCTAAGAATATGCTGTTGGTCACAACGTGCCATATCAACAAATGCTGGACATTGAAACACTGGTGACGAATTTGTCTATTGTATTATACTATTCAAATTATGTGACAAATTTAAATAATTGACTTGAATTTTAAGTATAATAAAATTATTAGGTATTTGACTTCATTGTAACAATTTGCATCCATTTATACAGGCTCGGCTAAATTAAACTGAGCCTGCAATATATATTCAAGTTAGAAGTATCAGACAAGCTGTAATAAGATTATTATTTTACTATATAATTGAATGAAAATCATGTTTATTTGACCACTTTTTCAGCATTATTTGATTTATAATGCCAAAATCTGCACTTATTTTTTTTATTGTTACGTATTAAATTAACGTAGAAATATGCAAGTTACCTTGTGATATAAATAAAATGACAACTGAATGTGTTAAATGACTTTTTAATATAGAATCAACTTAACTTGCAGCTATAATACATTGAACTAAATATATCCAGCTATTAAGGTCAAACAGATTACGGTAATCATTACGCGTTATTATTTCGTACAAGACTGTTTTTAGGGCATTGGGGCATTACGGTGTAGCGGATAGTTGTAATTTACTACTTATGGAAGGAAGTGGTACTTATTTGGTTTCGTTACTGCTTAGTGTTTAAATGCATAATTCATTGTTATTTAATATTTTACTGTTTTATTTTCTAAGGGGCTATATGATATTTCCTGTTGACATGTTTTTTTCCTCTCTTCGTGTTTTTTCCCCCTCACCGCGTGTTAATATTTTTATATATATAATTAGCATAAACCAGTGTTTAACAGGGTACAGCGAGTTAAATACATCTAGTTGAGAAAAAAATTATCGTAACTTTTGTTAGTATAAATATAGTTGTTTCATTTTATTGGAGAGAAAAATATTACATGCTACAGTTATAAAAAGAGCTATCGGCAAAATTAATAGAGTGCAGACGAATTTATGTTTTACTGTTCTTGTGATTATAACATTATTACCAAACCTATTGAAGCATTTTGTGGAGTCTTAGTTAAGTACTCACTGGTATGGTTAAGTCATAGGAGAGAACTAAGGGGGAAAAAAGTAGAACATAAAAATGTGGCATAGATTAAAACCGAAAAAAAAAACCAACAACGGCAATAGTTTGTAGAATGTTAAGGATTGTTTAGACATGCCAGGTAATGATAAACTGTCGAACACAAACAGATGTTCTTCAGATGTTTTATGAATGGAAAATTAGCCGATATATGTCAGTAGGTAGCGAAAAACAATACAATTGGGGAGTAGAGTTTGACATGGGAGTAGTACTTGTTATATAATTAATACACCGATTTAATCAATGGAGTATATTCAAGGACTGCAGATTAAAAGTGAGCAAGAACTTAGTAAAAACAACAGATGTTTTAACGAGTTTTTGAGCTATTCTGAACGGGAGCAGTATTATGGAGATCGAAACAAACATTTTCAAAGTGAGGCTATATGCTTAAAAAGAAATTTGAATAATTTTACAGAAAAGTTTAACAATTTACCGACGATACAATTAAAACATAATGGATTTGGAAAAAGAAGTAATGGAAAAAATGATAGTTTTATGAGTGACGTTAAACGCCAAAACATGCGAAGGGTTGATTTGGAGAGTATTTCCGATGAAGAACACTTTCAGGGGTTCGATGATATTGAAAATCATCGTGAAAATCATCGTGTAATTACAAATGACTACAGGTTTATGAATGAGAGAGGTTTAAATAGAAGGCGACCTGACATGACCCGTTCCTTATCATGCAATGTAGACAAAGATGTTATACTAAGTCGCTGGCCTCGGGACAATTACATACAATCGTATTCATGTGCAACTAAACAGGTCAGTTATTAATATTTCATCGTTTCAGCATAAAATGTGTCTAGCTATGTTTATTGGTGTGAAAATCATATTCTATATCTCTAACTGGTGCATGTCATAAGTATTTCCTTACAAAGTTATCAGAAAAATTCAATTTTGATCTCAAAATATCTTAAATCTGAATAAAAGTATAATTATTTTTCGTAAGAACGTTATCAGCAATACTATAATTTGATTACACTTACATTGAGTGATACATTGCTGTTTTTAACTTTGGCAATAAAAGTGGGAATGTGAAATAAAATTGTTTAAAAGTCACAGAAAATTGATGTGTGAATTCATTTGCATGGATATTAAACTGATGGTATTTGCTTCTTTTTTTTTGGAATTTGAATTTTTATTTTTTTTAAATAATTTTGAATTTTATTTTAGAAAATGTGCATACATTTAAAAAGAAAAAGTGAAAAGAATGGTATCAAATTATGGTTTCAGACATTTTAAAGAAGTGTTTTTATTTATTTTTTATCAATGGGGCGTGATAATTTAGACCTTTAAAGTTTAAATACCACTATCTTGGTTCCGATATTGCCCTATTAAATGTCTTTAAATGCTGTCTTTTGTTCCAGCTTTCTTTAGAATGACCCGTTATCTGATCAAGGCATGTTGTGTAAATTGAAGGACTAATTAACAGCTATTTACGTAAAACAATCAATGTTTTTCCACTTTGTTGACCAAGTTTAATACTCCACTAAGTAATCATTTGTGCTCCCTATTATTTATAACTGATCAAATTATTGATACATGTAATAGAATATGTTATCAGTAATGCTGATACTCTTTAAGAATGGAAAAAAAAATCAAGATCAAGGGAGATAACTTATAAACATATGTTTTTTGCAATAAGGGGAGGTAATTAATGAATTGGATTTCTTTGGCAGATCACCAGTACATAAAGTAATAATTAATATAGATTTAGAATGATTAATCCCCATGATTTGGCCACAGTAAACAAAAATAAAACAAAGGTAAGTAAATAAAGTAGGGATTAAATTTAACTATCGGTGTATTGATCTGAAATCATGCACACAGGCGGTAGTCACACATATTGTTTTATTTTGCCAGGTTTTTTTTTTCTTCTGATTACCCGGCTGTGTATTTTCCAAGGTTTTCAAGAAAAATCATGGAAAAAACCATGGAAGTCCAAGCTTTAATGGCAGTTTTACTAGGAAACCTTGGACAATGTTGCAGTTGTCCAAGGTGAAAGGGTTTTGTTCTAACTTTTCCTTGGACATCTTCCATGGTTGTCTGAAAAATTCCTAGGAATCGCTTGGACAATACCTGGGAAAGTAAAACATAGTTTTTTTCAAGCTGGGAAAATGAACACATTCAGATACTTAGAAAATTTTTAGCTTGGAATTCACTTGGAACAAAACACTTAGAAAATTTTCAGCTTGGACAAAGGACTTAGGCAATTTTTCTTTCATTTTTTCAATCATCCTAATGATAATGAATAATGAATTATTTACATTTATTGTCATTATGATGTGCTAGAAGGAAAAGAATATTTAATCCTTTTCAGAAGATATAAATAGACATTTTAAAGAAATATGATCATTTATTGATTTTTGTATTTAATTATTAAATATAAAGTTATTAAAAATATCAAATATAATTATACATGTACATGCATACATATGTATAATACATACATTTAAACATTTTTAATACAGTATGGAAAATGTTCTGTTGGTTTCTAAGTTTCTAAATGCATGAGTATCTTCCCTGCAGTTTGTATCTTTAGACTTTTTTATTTCTTGACAGCATGTAAGCAACAGTTAAATAATTTTAGAATGCTATTAAACTTTAATATAAGAGTATATGATTTTGTGCCATATAAAATAGTACATTCTCTGAATATTTGTAGACATACATTTAGATTACACTTTACTCTGCCACTTAGTTTATGTGTACAATAAACACATAAATTATATAATAATTATTGCCCATTATATATATGCAAAATTTGTTAAATATAATAACCAGCTTGCCTGATAATTTCTTTAAGTCAGGATAAATAAATACTGCAAACAGCAGAATATAACACACAGATCAGATAAGACTAATGATTACCATCTGCCCTTCCTTCTATCTATGCATGACTAATCTGACCTCATGGGGCATTCTGGGATACTGACCGGACTGTTCCATGTGATTATTAAGGGAATCTGAGCATGATACATTTGTAAAAAATCAGTTTAGAAGGACATTGAAACTTTGATTTTTTACACACTTATTATTATTTTCAAATTCTACATTTATTTATCATTTGATATGTTTATACATTCAATAAATGTAAAAATATAATGATGGGTGTTATGATTTTTTTTTGATAATCCCTGTTTCACATTATGATAGACCTGTCCAGACTGAAACCGTTGCAAAATTTGAAATCTCAGACATTCAGTGCTAACCATAAAGGATCTAAGTGGCATTTTAGCTATTTTGGAGATATCATCTTGTTTTTGAATGTTGTGTACATTATTGTGGAATTTTCAAAGAAAACATTTATCTAAATGTGACAAGATTGTGGAATTGTTTGGTTGTTGTAATTGAACTAAGAATGACCTGAGACAGGAAGTTATGCAAGAATCATAGTAAACAGTTTCAGGTAAATAACTTTTAGATACATTTATGCAGAAAAATGGTGACTTTAAACAATCAAAATATGTTATGGCAGCAAGCAAAAATGTTTCTATAAAATAAGGTTGATAAAATTATGCTGTGAATAATTATTTGATAATTAGATCTAGATTTATTACCAAAATTATTTAATTATTTCTATACTGAGTCAGTTATTTGTTTAATTTACTTGTAACTGAAATTCCAAGTTAGTATGCTCAACTTAAATTTTGAAGATAAAAAGTTTAAATTAAGGAGAATTCAATGCATTTAATGTTAAAATAGACTAGATATACTGAAACTTTGCTAACTAAAGTTATATTATTCCAGGAACAGCTGTATGGATATGTAAAGTAGAGTGATGACTTCTCAAAAGCCAGCAGGCTCCTGTTCAGAAAACTTTATAGTGTTGAAGAATACAGGGGCAGGTGTTTTACTGGCAACAGTACCAACACTAAAACCAAAATCAATTAAGGCCAGCATTGGAGGACACAATATTACTGAAAGTCTTTCATGGTTTGTATAATTTTATTTCCTAGAATTGTAATCAAATTTGAACATATTAACCTTTTATTGCAGTATTTTACAGTTTTACGCAGCATTAAGTTGCAACTAATGTAGTTAAACTCTAAATGTCCTTATACATAGTTATTCAAAGTAAGTTAATTCTGTGTTAATTAGGAAGTCATATAAATATAGATATATTGTTCTTTTAACCTACTGAGTACTTATTCCCTTGATAATGATAATTGTGCAAGGGAAATATAAAATTATGTTGTCGTTTAAAATATATTGTTTAAGACTTGCATTCCTCATTTGTTACTACATGTATAATTAAGTGTTTTGAATGTAGTTTTTTAATGGCAATTTAATTTTTATTTTAGAGTTGATCAAGAGAAAAAGGCCATAATAATGTGACTTTTGAAGCTGTCCAGAAATTGACATTGACATTGATGTTACCAAGAGGAATAAAAATTGTTTTAATAGTTATAATATTTTATGTTTTGTATTCTACCAGTGTTACATATAGTGTTTAAAAGTGATGGAGGGCGAGTTTATCAATAAGTCAGGGATTAAGGCAACTAGTTATAAGAATGATGAAAATTCCATATCTCAAAGGGGCAATTGTAAGAAAGCACAGAAATTACAAGCATCAAAGATACAGCTTTGCAAGATCATGAAGATGTCCTAGTATTTTCCCAGGTTTTCCAAGGTTTTTTTCACTTAAAGAACCTTGGACAATTCCAAGGAAAATAACATTGGACTTCCATGGAAATGTCCAAGCTTTCCGAGGATGTCTATGTAAATGTCCAAGCTTTCCAAGCTTTCCAAGGATGTCCGATGAAAAAACCTTGGTCCCAATACTCCAAGGTTTCCAAGGTTTATGGCATATGTTCATGGAAACCTTGTACAAGCTCCAAGGTTTCCAAGCATTAGTCCAAGCATTTGTCCTAGGAAAGACCCTGCCATTTTTGTTCTTAATTTACTCTTATTTTATTGAAAAAGTATACCCAATACTCCAAGGTTTTTTCCATGAAAAATTCCCTGATATTGTCCAAGGAAACCTTGGAAATTGTACAGCCGGGTATAAAAGTCAGGTCAGGAATTTATATAAGTTTATTTATACACTTGTATTATCCTGAATTCTGATTTCTTTTGTCAAGTAATATAGCTCTATACAATTATGCTTGATCAGCAATTTTTCGAAGTGAACAAAATTTCTTGACTGAAAAAAAAAATATGGTAAAACTAGAAAAAAAATATTAACAACATTTGTATGCATGCAGTTTCACTTGTTTATACTCTTCAGGCAATGTTTTTCTTCAAAACCACTTACAGTGTGACTTACTTTTTTCATATATATGAAGAGAAGACTTTTTATTAACTTATATCGCTTTCAAACCAATAAAAACATTGATTTATTGCCCATACTTGTGTAAAGAGGATTGGGGGGTTTTAATTAGAGCCTGAGGTAACTAATTTGAACTAAAAGTGAAAATAATGTAAATAAAATAACGAAGAAGTTATTATGAAAATCCAACTTCAATTGAATTCAAAATTTTAAAGAAAATGTTATGGTTTTTTAACCTCAAGAATAGTTATTGGCAAGTTACGCACTCTGGGTTGTTACATCATTTGATGGCAACGGTTGAACGAGATTGTGATGGCAGGTGCTCTTTTTAAAGTAATTGATACCTAATACTAGTTTTTGAAAATAATTTGTGTCAGAAAAAGTAATATGTGTCGTCATGCTGAAATTTATCTATTTTAAGGCAAGATTGATTTCAATGACAATTATTTTAATGCTCTTTAGTTGATATTGATAATATTTCTTTTAAATATAGACCCGCTTGATATCATATTTTCGCTTGATATCATATTTTCGTCAAACAAAAAATATTTCCTTGGGGGAAAATAAACATGTTTCAATGTTGCATCATTTATTTTTATGTACTGTGAGGTTTCCAAGTATCATAAAGCTAGCTTTTTCATAGTCAAGAGGGTTTATATCACTTTACTTCGTTATTTTTAAGTAGGGGGCGGGGCGTTCATGGCCGAGTGGTTAAGGTCATTGACTTCAAACCACTTGCCCTCACCGCTGTGGGTTCAAATCCCGACAGGGACTCTGGATTCGATTCTTTCATGTGAGGAAGCTATCCAGCTAGCTTTCAGAACTTCGGTGGTTCTACTCAGGTGCCCGTTCGTGCCTGAAATAATGCACGGAAGGGCATCTGAGGTCTTCCTCCACCAGTAAAGCTGGAACATCGCGATATGACCTGTACTGTGTTGATGTGATGTAAAAAACCAAAATAAACAAATAAGTTTGAAAGTTATAATATATCAAATATATGTACATGTATATTAGTTAATTATTTGGCTGTTTTGCTGATAGCCCCCTGATTGTTTCAAATATTTTAAAGGAAGTGTAATATCTTCAAAAGAATCTTACTGATATCAGTGATTTCGTCCATACTGATATATATCTGAGGTTCATAGGAGGACTTTACTGATATCAGTGCATTGGGCTTTACTATTATATCTGAGGTTTATAGAAGAACTTTACGGATATCCGTAAATTGGGCTAAACTGATATATAACTAAGGTTTATAGAAGAACTTTACTGATATCAGTGAATTGGGCTATACTGATATATACATCTAAGGTTTATAGGTGGACTTTACTGATATCAGTGCATTTGGCTATACTGATATATAGCTGAGGTTTATAGAAGAACTTTACTGATATCAGTGAATTGGGCTATACTGATATATATCTAAGGTTTATAAAAGGACTTTACTGATATCAGTAAATTGGGCTATACTGATATATATCTAAGGTTTATAGAAGAACTTTACTGATATCAGTAAATTGGGCTATACTGATATATATCTGAGGTTTATAGAAGAACTTTACTGATATCTGTGAATTGGGCTATAATGATTTATATCTGAGATTTATAGGAAGAACTTTACTGATATCAGTGCATTGGGCTATACTGATATATATTTGAAGTTTTGTAGGGAAACTTTACTGATATCAGTGCATTGGGCTATACTGATATATATCTGAGGTTAATAGGAGGACTCTACTGATATCAGTGAATTGGGCTATACTGATATATATCTGAGGTTTATAGCAGAAATTTACTGATACATGTTTGTTATTTTAAAAGATAAACATTTAATTACATATGGGTCTCCTAAGAGTGGAAGTATTAACAAATTCATAGATTTCACTGAGAACCCATAGGGCCATGCTGTCATTATAATTATCTCGTTCATAATTCATAGATAGACGCATGCATAATACTATATTCTTTAACATATATATATGTATTTCTTTCATATGCATATATTGTTGTAAGGGAAATTAGAGCTCTTTGAGCAGTGCTGGGATAAAGAGTTTAGTGTGAAATAATCTGTTAATCAATGTTGCACACTTTATTGAAAGGGCAAATTGTTTTTGTTTTCATCATGGATTGCACAATACATGTACTGTCAGCAGCTGTCTATAATCCAGTTGTTTCTGAGAAGTACTATTTATAGAAATTTAGGTTAGAGCCATTAATATACTGATTTTATTGTCAGTGATTTGTAAGGTTAAGCTTAGTTTCTTGTTTGTAAAAGATTGTAATAATGAATGTATTGGGCTGTAAAAGTTTGTATTGGGCTGTTAAAGTTTGTCATATATGTATTGGGCTGTAAAAGTTTATTTCTGTATTAGCTGTAACATACAAACTTAAAGACTGAACAAGTACATGATTTGTGTACTGGACTTTAAAAAAATGTTATTTTATGTATTGGGCTTTAAAAGTTTGTAATTTATGTATTGGACCATAAAAGTTTGTAATTTATGTATTCAGCTGTAAAAGTTACTAATTTATATGTTGAAGTAAAAGTTCAATTTATGTTTTGGGCTGTAAAATGTAAATTTTATCAGGTCAGGGTCACGCTCAAAGGTCTAATGTTAAAACATCTATTTTTCATGTTAGCTCTATAACTTATTGACAATTCAAAGTTTTTAAAATTACTTGACACAAATCACGACCATCATGATACAATCTGCAGAGCTGATACCCTCAAGTTACATCCAGGTTGCTAACCATAAGGTCAAGGTTATATATTCTCCATAACTTTTTGACTTTATGGAAGATTTTAAGTAACTTTGTTGGCACAAATAATCACCATCATGAGACTAAGTGCTTATGATATACAAATGTACATGGTACAAGATGAAGGTCATGGTTGGTGAAAGGTCAGTAAGTACAGTACGTTCACGTGCACTGCGGAAGGGAGTTTAGCTGTCCTTAATACTGTAGCCATCATCTATGCCATTAAAGTTTATTTGACATAGAAACTCAAATAGGAAAGTTTAGTAGGCCACGGCATCAGATGTTTATCTGTATTTCATTATTATTTGTTTTCATCACAGCTTTAGCAATAGTTTTTCCAAATCAATATAATATTGTTAAATTATGGTAATTTCATTGGTGTCACATGTTCTTATTATTTGATACACAACAGAAAATAATTTAGGTGTGTTAATTGCACTTTAATGCACAAAAAGTCCCAAGTTTGGTTGTTTAATTTTATCTAATTAATAACAGGTCAGATCTCCAGTTTATTTAAATATCCAGCTGGACAAAAATGTTCAAAATTATGTGTAAAATTAATGAAAATATCTTCGAATTTATAAGTGGCGGCAGAAAAAATATTATAACAATTACTGAGCAACTATTTTGAGTACATTGTATTGATGTCAACTTTATTATAATCGATATAATTGTTGTTGTTCTTGGATGCCAACATTTTACTAACAACAAGATTTGATGATTTCTACTTGAACACTGCCTGCCTTAAGACAATCACGATGAAGAATTTATACTATGTAATAAGACAGTGGACAACAAAATCTGCCTGCCTTAAGACAGTCACGATGAAAAATTTATACTATGTAATAAGATAGTGGACAACAAAATCTGCCTGCCTTAAGACAATCACAATGAAAAATTTATACTAGGTAATAAGACATTGGACAACAAAATCTGCCTGCCTTAAGACAATCAGAATTAAGAATTTACTACAATGTGATAAGAAAGAGGACAAGAAAAACTTCAAAAAGCTCGGCTTATGGGGCATACCATATTTTTTGTTGAGAAATATGCTACAATGTAGCCACAACACCTTTACAGAGTCTGTGCATCTTTAGAAACCCAACCACAGAAAAATTATTGCACAAGGGTCGTAGTGTCTGTACATATGCCTTGATATATACATTGTTATTGTTTTACTTGCAGTATGATGTCATGATGGCAGCTGAGGAGGAAGGTGCTATGAATTTAAGTGCTGAGGGGAAACAGCCCAAGGATGAGGGAACCAGCGAGGCAGGAACCAGTCATGTGAATTCACCAGTCGGAATGACCAATGGCGATACAGAACATCTTTCTCAGGTAACTAGAAACATTTTTAGCTCGACTATTCGATAAGAATAAGTAGAGCTATTGCAGTCACCCGAGCGTCGGCGTAACCACTTATGTTAAAGTTTTTGTAATAGTTCAAATATTTTCAAAGTCCATTGACATATGGCTTTGAAACTTTGCACACTTGTTCACCATCATGACCCCAACCTGTAGACAGGAGGAGGTAACTCTATCAAGCATTTTGACAGAATTATGCCCCTTTTTCGACTTAGAATTTACGTTAAAGTTTTTGTAATAGTTCAAATATTTTCAAAGTCCATAGACATATGGCTTTGAAACTTTGCACACTTGTTCACCATCATGACCCCAACCTGTAGACAGGAGGAGGTAACTCTATCAAGCATTTTGACAGAATTATGCCCCTTTTTCGACTTAGAATTTACGTTAAAGTTTTTGTAATAGTTCAAATATTTTCAAAGTCCATTGACATATGGCTTTGAAACTTTGCACACTTGTTCACCATCATGACCCCAACCTGAAAACAGGAGGAGGTTACTGTATCAAGCATTTTTTTTTTTCTATCAAGCACTAAGAATAGTCGAGCGTTGCTGTCCTACCGACAGCTCTTGTTATGCTGTAATATGATCACTAACTCCTCTGTGGGTTTGAACTTTTAATTCCACCAGACAGCTTACAGGTCATCATTGGTTCTACTATGGTGCCCTTCGTGCCTGAAATGTCATGTTGAGGTACTTTCCCAGGTATTAAGATATAAATATTCGGCAACCAATAGAAGAATATTTGTGGCCAGACTATATGGATGTAGAATGAAGAGTTGTAAATTACTAGACATAAGAAACCTCATAATTTGAAAAGTTTTGATATTACTTTTTTCATTGCAACAAAATTATCTTAAATCCTATATATAGAAGTGATATTACATTAGAAATGGTTAAGTATGAAGATTAAACGCCCACAAATAATATCTTTATTAAGTTTTTGAAGTTACTATTCTTAATTAGTATCTGCCAATAATTAAACTGTATTGCTTAATGTTGACTGGCTGAGTTTGCATGGTTTGGTACAGTACAATAGCTGTTATTTGGTGAATGAGTTACAATATGAGTTGCTATATAACAAAAGTTAACCCATTACTTCATATACACGCCTTTTAACGCCTTTTTCACCCCCCCCCCTTTTTTGTTGTCTCAAATGATGAAAAAATGCCTTTATTTAGGCCCCAAACACTTGGTTTTGTTTGAGAAATGTTGTTAAAAAAAAGTGACCTCTTTTTCGGCGCGGCCCCCCAACCAAAAGATACATCAGGGGGTTGCCAGAAGGGGGATGTGCCCCCTTCTGTTTGGGGGGTTTGAAGGGGGGCGGAGTCCCCCTCATCGCCAAGAAAATTTTGGGCTTGTGAGAGGCTGTAAATGACCCCAGATTGATCATAAGGTAACGTGTAAGCAACGCTGAAAAGCATTTGACTCTATCTCAATCCATTGAGAAGTTGCAGCACTTTGAAATCAATTTTGATGGAAAAAATCAACGCAAAATAGTGATTTTTGGCAATTTTGAGATGTCCCCTCGTTGCCATGGTAACAGAAAATTTAAGCCTGAGCATGTTGTTGCAAGGGCAATGGTCCAGTCAACATTTGTGCCAAGTTTGATTAGTGTTGAAGCAGTTTTTATAGTATTATAGCAATTTGAACTTGTAACGGGAGACTTTTCAATGAAAACAGCCATTTTTCACAAAATGCTCATGAAGCAATGGGTTAACAAGTCTGTAAGGCAGCACACTTGACTATTCTCAGTGCTTGACAGTAAGGAAAGGGGCATAACTCTGTTAAAATGTAACTCAACAGTTAGGGGCCCTGTGACCATCGTGTATGATAATCACAGTGAACAAGTGTGTGAAGGTTCAACACATTTCCTTCAGTAGTTATGGAGATACCAGCTTACACACAAAAACTTAACCAATGCTTGATGGCAACGCCCATGCCAATATAGGGTGAGTATAACACCTCACACTTTTCTTCTTTAAGTCGAGCCAAAAACACAGCATATTGTCTCTAGCATTATATTGAAACATTATTAAAAAATAAAATAACGGGAATAGTGCAGGTACGCCACATGATATTTGATATGAATTTAAAGTCAGAAGAATATATGGCAATATTTTATTATTACAGGGAATGGCATCACCTCAGGAAGAAACTCGGTCAACAGGGACACGACAAAAGTCAAGGTCATCTGATGGGAGATCTCCTGACCTTGACCTTGGTGTAGGTTCAAGTCAGCACCAGACATTACTGATGTTAGCAGCACAACATGGACTTGCCCCTCAGCAGTTACAACAGATATTGATGGCACAACAGGGAGCTGCGGCCCCACCTCATCTTCAGCAGCTTTTACAGGCACAGCAGTCCGCTGTTATGGTACGTTAAACTTACCATTCTTAATATCGGAAAATTGACTCCTCCATCGTTCAATCTGGACAAAATCATTCATCATTTTTAGGGAAATTTTCAAAAAAATGTACATGTCTGAATAGCAAAAATATGTAGACCATTATTTTCTTTAAGTTACTGCAAAACCTCTTTACATTCTTATCTTAATATTATAAAAAATAAATTTCATCACAATATTTCTGATTTGGCCCTTCCCCAGCTGATGGCAACAGATTCTTTCCATGCCACCAGTGCAGACCACAGTGATTGTGGTCTGCACTGTTTGCTATTCAGTCAATACTTATTATGAAATTTTCTCTATTGATGAATGATGTTGCCTAGATTGAAAGATGCACAAGTTTATTTAGGATATTTAATGCGAGAAGGGCAATGATCTGTAAATTGTTTGAAATATAAGAAAAAAATAACAACAATAAACAGGCCATTAAATGAAGGTGAAGGTAAAAAACATAATGAGAGTAAGCCTTTGTTATGTATTCAAGAGGGATATTGTGTTATGTTTTTTGTGTAGGATAATTATATTCAGAGATTTTAGGATGTTGTGAAAAAAGATAAAGTAAACAAACAAGGGTTTGGTGCACTCAGCCATAACTGATGCTTCCTTCGTTTTCATAAAAAGTCTACTCCATTTCCTGTCAAGTAACTCAATATAAATATATCATTTTTTACAGTGATTTTGTTACACCTTTTTTGGTGAAAGCATATTTAAATTTAAGCTTGATTACGAGTAAAGTTATTGCAACTTAACCAGTACTGGTGTCTTTGGTAACTGGTAATGACAACTTGGTAAATTTTAGCATGGTTATTTTTGGTAAAATAGAAAAATGTGGGATAAGTTAGCAAACCTATTAAGACATTCACTTTCATATGATAATTATGTGCATAACATCATATAATAATAAAAATAATCTTAATTGAAGTCTCATCCATACATAACAACATATAAAATAGTTCAATTACATAATTTTAAATTAGTATAAAACCATTATTTGAACTGATACTGGGGAAATGCATAGGCAGGACTGGTCATTTTCGCCAAAAGTGCAGAAGCTACTTCCAAGAGCTAAAAAAAGTTTTTAAGAAAACATAGGGTTAAATGCAAGTCATTGGAAAAAACAGACATAATTTGATCAGAGCTTATTACAATGGGCATGAGTAAAGATACTCAATTGATTCATAGTGGCAAGAACTTCTCTCTGGTACATCATACATGTACTGGATATCATGAAGTTGAAATGAAATGGTTTGAGCCTATTACAAATTGGTCCTGTCATATTTCTGTGTTTGCAATTTGAAGATTCTGATTGGTTACTGAAAATCTATACTATGTAAGAGTTTTAAAATTAACCAATGGGAGAAATGAATCCAGGATTCTGATTGGTTATTGGTTTATATAGTATTAAGAGTTTTGAAATTAACCAATCCAAGAAATGAATCTAGGATTCTGATTGGTTATTGATTAATATACTGTTACTTAAGAATTTTGATCTTTAAAGCAATGGAAACTAGAAACGAATTCAGGATTCAGATTGTTTACTTATTGAAATACTTCTTTTGAGTTTTGATGCTAACCAGTAAAAGAGTTTCATTGTGGGAGTGATCTGAAATCTTAGCTTTATATTCTAGCTTTCAGAGCATTGAAATTGTTTTATATACCTATTCAACTTTTGACAAAATATTCAACCACAATCACTCATTAATAATTTCATATCTTAAGTGGTGTAGGTGGAAAGTTATTTATTAAAGTAAAAAACTAAAAAGGTAAGAAAGGCTTTAAAGGGAAAGTAAAAATAAAGATCAGTCGGTTTTGTCAGGTGTGACATGAGGTAAATCTGAAGATATCGTGGAAGTAATAAAGAAATTATCTAACGATGACATATATATTCGTCCTACAGCCAACGGCGATAATTTGTCACCTTTTTTAACTAAAATGATACGGGCAATCACTTGTTCATCATTTGTCACTTACACGGATATCTCTCTAAACACAGTCCTCAAAATATTTTGTCTTCGCTAATTGCTTAAAGAGATGACTAATTTAATGTATATTATTATTCTTTTTAATAATTCATCTCACGGGAAAAATATTTCTGTTTTGAATTTGAATCACTTTACAGTGGTTTCTGTAATGTTTACATCCTATGTAGGAGATAACAATGAAATGTATTTATAGATTAAATGAAAGAGGTCTTTTATTTGCCTTATATAGGTTTAATAGCTTAAAATAAAAAATAAAAAAGATCATAAACCAGTTTGCCTCATAGATTTTAGGTCATAGAAATTCTAAAAGAACTCACCCATTTTCCTCATAGATTTTAGTTCTTAGAAAATAAATACCGGGTAAGAACAAAAAAAATTAGTCAGCCATTTTGTCTCATAGATTTTAGAGCTTATAAATTAAATAAGAACAAAAAGATTACCTACTTTTGCCTTATAGATTTTAGATCTTAGAAATAAGATAAGAACCAAGATGTAACCCATTTACCTCAAAGATTATTATATAAAAACCAAGAGGTCAGCCATGTGCCTCATAGATTTTAGATTTTAGAAATAAAGATAAGAACCAAGATATAACCCATTTACCTCAAAGATTATTATATTAAAACCAAGAGGTCAGCCATTTGCCTCATAGGTTTGATATTTACTTAAATAAGGACATAAAGCTTGCTAATTTACCTCATAGAATTAAAAAAACACCTTCAAATATTTGAGATGAAAATTTTTTCCTTGTTACATAAAAAAATTATGTGTTGCTCTTAAATAAAGTCAAGTGGTAAACAAGTTCATGTTCTACATCAATTCTAAAGCTACCATGTAAAATGAGGAAACTCTACAATTTCTATTGAAATAATTGACAATTACTTTCTTTGAAATTTTCTCAGTAATTGAAGTAATTTTATTTGCCTATATTTTCCCTTTTCTTTCTTGTTTGACTATATGTATCATATTTTCTGTTAATATAATTGTGCCATGAATGCTGGGTTGACCAGAACATGTGTGAATTATGCCATTGAACTTTACTGAACTTGTGAACAGGTAGCTTTTACCTTTATATTAAACATATTAGTGGCATTCCAAGAAATAGTTTGGTAATCAATATAAATATTAGTATTGTAATATAATAAATAAATCTATGAATGAATACAGAGCATGAGATCTGGACTTTAAAGCAGCATGCCAGCCAGGTTCATTCTAATTTTTGAGAGAAAAAAAATGAAAATGTGTTAAAAAGTAAAATGTTTTGAAGTGAACTTCACATTGCAAAGTGTACTTACAATCCATGTAAATTACTAGAAGAGAGGTTAAAATAAGGAAAAATAATCCTTACTGCTATTCTCACACTTAGTAGAAATATGTGGTGATAAATACTGTAGTCAGTCAAGAATTTCATCTTGAATTTGGTTACTTTTCTTAAAATCTTTAGAAATTTTTATCAAGTTTGATTTTCTTTATATATGTTGGCTCATCTAAATGCGTGCAGCTTTAAATGAATATGCACTACTATTCCTATTTAATAGTTTGCAAAACTTATGAAAAGAAAGTTTAAGTTCAGTAGCAGGACTAAGAATATTATTTACCTGAGTTCAGGAATGGACTTGTTCCCAGATAGAAAACAACTTGACCATAACTTCTGTACTCATATTGTTGGTGGAGAAAACATTACAATAGGTAGTCTGGGCTTGTTTTATGCTTGTAAGCAAATTTACTACAATATCTTCACATAATATTGTTGGTAGTGTTAAAATTACAGTATTTTAGAGAGCAACTTAATTACTACAACTTCTCCCCTTATCTTCTTTACCACAACTTCTCCCCATATCTTATTGGTAAAGTTAAAATTACATTAAAGTAACCTGCTAGACAGTTAAACTTATCTCCACTTAGAATAATGGTGGAGACGAATTATCATATTAAGCAGGTTGGGTTTGTTCCCGCTACCAGCTGATCTTGGTCTGCACTGGTTGTATAGGTATATTCAGTTGCCAGGAGCAGGCTAAGGTTCATAAAAGTTGAATAATATTGATAGAAATCTATGTACACCAAGGTGATGTGTTTTTATTATTTATCACACACCCGTGCAGATTTTGCGACTCCGTAAAAATGGTATTGCACGGCCGTGCATATATTTTGACGTGACGTCATTAGCGTTATACAAACATAGTGTCGTTAGCGTTATAAAGACGCGCTAAATGATAGCGTTATATTATAGGCGCGTCAATGAAAAATGACTCTTACTTCACTTTAAACGGTCTTTATTTTGGGCATGTGATAAATAGAATATTAAATTCGTGTAAGTTCATTACTGAATTTATTGCACTCGTTGAATAAAATAATATTATGCTCGCCAGAGGCTCGCATAATATAATTTCATTCAACTCGTGCAATAAATTCAGTATTGAACTTACACTCATTCAATATCCTCTATTTCTTGGATTTTGTTTATCATGTTTTTATCTGTTATAGCTAGGTATAAAGAGATTGAATTGTGTAAAAAAAAGAAGCTAAGTAATATTAAATCATATGAGCTTAGAGCTATTATTGCCGAGTGTTAAACTTTGCCAAACTGCACAAAACATAGGCAGACTGGCCTGGCTCTTTTAGTAGTAAAGGCTATTTTCTTAAACATTTTGGTTCCAGCATTTTAAGGTATATTTATTTATTCAAAAATATTAATAAGACCACTCCTTTTAAAAGACAATCTCAGAATAAAAATCATATTTATTGAACTTTTTAGTAAGTATCTAAAGTTTATTTTGCTGTTTTGTCATACTTGCAAGAAACATTTACCCGAGTTTAGAGTCCATTCCCCAACAAGCGAAAATAGTTCTGATGATCATAATGAAGGTGGTCTTTTCAAACAGGTTTAACTGTAGAACTGGGAGAATGACTACTGTCATGACTTGTTCTAGATTACTATGTGGATTATGAATAATCCATGTTAAAGTGCTTTTTATTTTATTTTCAAGTAAAAAGTATATAAACTGAAATAAAAGGAGAAGAAAAAAAAGACTTTGGGCTCGTCAGATATTTTAACCTTTCATTGTCAACAGAAATACATTTCGTTAAGTTAAGACCTTGTGTAAAAAAATGATTAATTTGTTTGTTCTTTATTTATGTGCAATAGAGTGACAGTTAATGATAAGTTTATTTATTATTTATGTATATGTTCCAATAGTTACTTACTTGTTTACTGGAGTTCAATGAAAAGAAAAGACCCCCATAAAGTTTTATATTTTCTAAAGATGGTAACATTTTTAGATCGGTCTTTCAATCAAGGGCGTAAAATCATTATGATCGACAGCTGTAATTGCTGATATATCATTTCGGTTCTATAAGAGATCGCGATATCTAAATCACAATTTTATTTTCCCCCTTTTAAACTTCTATTTACCAATAAATACAAAAAAAAGCATTTATCTGTTGTAAAGTATGATATTAAAGTAAATTCCGAACCTATTATTATTTTGTAATTATTGTAAATTATTGATATTGTAGATATTAAAATGCAATTAGCAAATTATGAAATATCGACAAGTTAGAAAACGTGACTTTAAGTTAAAAAGAAATTTTATGGTAAGATATATAGATAGATATATCGATTCACACATTAGTTGCTCACTGGGGGATGGTGAACTGTACTAAAATTGCCTTGTTCTACATCTTACTATAGTTACACAATCTTCAAATAGCATCAACATCCCCCCCACACACACACAAAAACAACAACAAAACAAAAAACAGCAACAAAAACTACTTGGCTGATTTTGACCAAACTTCACAGAAATAATCCTCCGGTATTTTTTAGTGGTTCAATCTAATGCATGAATAGTTCACACATCCATACAGTCCAGCATGGAATTAAACTGTTAATTAATGAACAGCTTAATCTTTGGCAATGTTGGTGTCAAAATCTCTCAAAGTATAAAATGGACTGTCCTGATTTCAAGTCAGTCCATTATGTAGATTACAAGAATAAAGCAGATTAAAGTGTTTGACTTTTAAAAAACTTAAAAAACTATCAGTATGCAAAAGTCACACAAATAAACAGTTGAGATTAAAATTAATATCGCATATTTTCACATCAGTTTTTATCATGAACGAGGAAAAAATGTGCTAAAAATAAAACTGATTTGGTAAAATCATATCTTACAAACAGATCTCTGAAAAATCTTAAAATCACAAACTGTAAACGGAAATTCATATGTTGTGTAAACAAAGCTGAAAGCAATAGACTTTGTTTATCTGTTATGTTTATAACAAATATTTTATCTCAAAGTAAACTGTGCAATGAGATTGAGCGAAAATTGCCAAGTGGTGGAAAGAAAGATAGAGGAAAAAAATCTTTGCTAAAAAATATAAGAGGTTGATATACTACAGTAGGAAGTTGGCATGTGTTGTTGATTCTAGGTCATTGTGACATGAATTTGGTAAGCTTTTTATAAGCTTTTAAATTATGTTTGTTAGTTGACTATTGTATAAAAGCATTGATTGTCGTTTTGACTGATAAAAGTGTTAGGGTTTAAAGGTATGAAAAAATATAATTGATTGTGAAATAGGCGTGAAACGACTGTAATGGTCCGAAAGGACGTATAGGTCATTGGCTTGTTTTTGTTGTTTTCATGTTTTTTCCGTGTTTGTTTTTATGTAACATTTTTGATGGATAAATGTTGATTATGATAAGTGAGAGATTAGAAGATAAAGGAGAGCTATTTTAAGACGCGTAATGTGATGTAAGGTGGCAAAGTCACTTAATTTATAGTGACGAGAATAGTTTTAAAAGATATAAGGATGTTTAATTGGAAGCAAAATACAATTATTTAAAACATTTCCGACCGAAAGATATACAATGAGGAAAAGAGAGATGTTGTTGTTGCTGTTTTTCATTTAAATAAACACAGGTGATGGCGATAAGAGGTGATGATAATGATGATGATGATTATGATTATAGAAAAAAGTAACAGATAATGATGATGATGATGATTGTTTATAGAAAAAAGGATTGTAACTATCATTATAATAATGATAGTGATGAAATTAATGTTGTTGATGATAATGATGATGATACTGATAATAATGATGAGAAATTGATAGTTATAGTAATGGTGTTGATAATGATGATGGCGATGATAATGATGATGATTGTTTATAGAAAAAAGTATTGTTACAATCATTATAATGCTTAATGATGACAGTGATGAAGTTGATGTTGTTTATGATAATGATGATGAGAAATTGTCTGCAATAGTAATGGTATTGATAATAATGAGGATGATGATGATGATGATGATAATGATGATGATGATTGTTTATAGACAAAAAGAATTGTAACAGTCACTATAATGTTTAAGGATGATAGTGATGAAGTTAATAATGATGATGATGAAAGTAATAGTAATGGTGTTGATAATAATTATAACGATATTTTAAAATGTGTCTACTATTTATTACAGCAACAACAGCAGAAGGCTCAGGAGCAGGCGTTAGTGCAGCTGAACGAGCAGTTACAGTTGAATCTACTGCAGCAGTCGCAACTTGTGCAAGACAAGAAGACGAATGGCAAGCAGACGCAGCAACAACTGCAGCAGTTGGCATTACAGCAGCAGCAGATCGTCCAGCAGATACAGCAAATACAGCTACAACAACGGCAGCTCTTGTTGGCATGTCTCATGCAACCATATACACAACAACAAGGTAAAACATGCAATATTTTAGCATTTTTGGTTGCAGAAAATGGTAGCAATATACTGCACAATAAGGTAAAACATGCAGTATTTTAGCAATTTTTGGTTGCCGGAAATAGTCGCCATATTTACAGCATAACAGGGCATATGCATGCAGTATTTTAGCAATTCGGTCAGAAAAAAAATGGTTGCCATACACTGCAGAAGAAGGTAAATAAATGCGGTATTTTTGCAAAATGGTCGCCATATAGGCTGTACAACACGGCAAATTAATGCAGTATTTTAGCATTTTTTGTTGCAGAGAATGGTTGCCATAGGGACTGCACAACAATTTTAATACATGTAGTATTTTTAGCATTTGTGTCACAGAAAATGATGGCTCTAGAAGATAAATACATACATTATTTTAGCATTTTGACACATCTTTCCACATAGCGCACTAGATTGTAAATAGCACACTATTAGATGGAAAAAAATGAATTCTTTTAGCATTTTGGACACTGAAAAGGGTTGCAATATTGAAATCATTCAACTAAATTAAAGTTTTGTGTGTTGAGTTCAAAGGGTCAAAGGTGATACTGTCATAATAATGTGAAGAAATAACCAAATAGCTGCTATGGTACTTGCTTTGTTTGGCTGTGTTGTTTGGTTGAAAAAAGTGTCAGGCATGTGGAGAGATCTACAGTACCTTGTGGAGAAAAGGCTTTTGTGTATGTGAGATATTTTGTAATAAACTAGTAGTTGTGCCAATAAGAAAAACAAAAAAATAACAAACACATTAAATTGACAGAGGAGAAAAAAATGAACATTTGATTTTCATTTTTTATGACCTTTAGCTTTTCACTTAAAGTGTTTCTCTTTTCCCACGTAAACAACAACAAACAAAGGTGACATATAAAATCGGAATATAAAAAGAAAATTAAGTGATGTTAAAAAATCAGAAAAAAATACTTGGTATTATTTTATGGGCAAAGATTTTGACTTAAAAAGTGTCTAGACACACTTGCCTGGGCATAGTTAGTAGAACAGTGTGATGTTATCTGTTTTATAGTAATTGACATATGATACATTTATGGGCAGGCAATGAAAACTCAGGGGTTGACATGCTTTCTGCACAAACAAACAAAACAATTCATTTCTCTGTCGATATTTTTGCGCTGTTTTATGATTTCATACTTGAATGCATCATAGAGTATTTCTCTTTCATTTTTTTGGGAAGATTGCTTTTTCTGACATTTGTAGTGAGATAAAGTGTGTTTATTTACCAATATTTTTCATACCCTAGTTAACATTATATATTTGTGTAATTTTAATGTGAACCTTTCACCGAAATTATGTATTTTAAGGGGAATTTAGTCAAATTTAATAAGTTTAAGATGCATATATAATATGATATAGGCTTGGCAAGTTATACAGAAAAAGATATTTTTGTTTAAATTAAACTTCAAAGTCTTATCTGCATTTTGTTTATTAAAAATGTTGGTTATTAAGCCATTTCCTACTTTAGAATTCAAAATGTATCTGAAAAATAGCATTTAGATGATAGATGCAGAGTCTGACAACAATAGGGTTAAATAATAGATACAGCTTTCATATTGTTTCTGACAACATCATTAAATGAAAGATGCAGAGTTTATACTTTTTCTGACAAATGGAGTTTAAAAATAAGTGCAAGGTTCAAATTGTTTCTGAAAACAACATTCAATACTGATGCAGAGTTCATTCTGTTTCTGGCAAACAGCTTGATATTGTTAAATATATGAAGAGTTCCTATGTTTCTGACAATATCATGAAATAATAGATGCAAAGTTCAGTTTAATGACATTGAAATAATAGATGCAGGGTTCATACTGTTACTGACAATGACAAGGGCAATGATAGTTGCAACTGTAAAAATGACAATGTATAGGCATGTGTGTACTTTGATTTTACCAGGAAGGAGTCTATAGTCTTGTTCATTTTCTATTTACCATCACTGTAACAATCAGATAAGATGGCAACTTTTAAGTTTTATTGGTTGAAGAGGATCCTAGCTGCTTTGCACTGTCCCTTGGCACCAGCTAGTACCTTTGATTAGAACCATTGACCTTCTGAAAGCCTGAGTTTCTTGTTCAATAGCATTGGTGAAATTGTATTTTAATTTTTATCTACTTTAGTACAGTTCATTTCTTGTTTTAAAAGGAATTGTAAAGTTACACGAGGAATTATAGCATTAATTGACCATCTTGAAATATTTAACTCTATTTTTCATCTTATCTGACAGCAGTTTGTTTAAAAAACTGTTAATTTCAAATTGCAAAGTATTAAAGACTAATATAGATTGTTTCTTAGATGCTTAGTGTTTGTTTTTATAGTGGTAGGTTTCTGCAGCAATTATGTTTCATACATTTACCAATATTTATAGACTGTTATAACACAGGGTTTGTTGTTTACTTGTTTAAAGATTTTCATACTGGTACTATTGATCAGTGAACAAATGTTTATTATTAGCCGAGATCTGTTTATTTCTATCGATGCCAATCCATAACGCAAGCACTGTCTCTACCATGTAATGTTTACCCCAGTTTTTTAAGAGAACGAAGCCTTGTTTACACAGTTGTTGGTTACCAAGGAATTTGTTTACATTGTTTATTTACAAGAGCTCAGTTTTCCCCTGCAGGGAGAATTCGTAATTGAAGTTTTATTTATACAACATCATAAAGTATAAACAATGCATTACAAGTACTGGGGGTTAGAGTGCTGTGTATTTCCACTCAAAAGTTTACAGTTTTAGTATAGAGAATACAGTGCAATCTCGATACAATGAACTCTTAATTTTTTTCAAAATTTTTAATGTTAGTAGTTTTTTTTGCTCAAAAATTTTATGTTTTGCAGACAAAAAATAAATAGTTTTGTAGACAGTATAGTGCATCATGTTAAAATGAGCACTTAATATTTCCACTCAATTGTAGACAAAACAGTGCAACCCTGATAATGTGAACTTTTAATATTTTGGATCAAAAGTTAATAGTAAGGTAGGCTGTACAAGGAAACCATGATAAAGTAAACATATAATGTAATGATGATACTTACAGATAAAATTTCCCTTTTAAGAAAAAGAGGAATTGTTTTTTACTTGATATGTAGAATTTACATTTTTAGAAAAGATGTCTGTAGAAATTTTGAATTACCTATTTTCTCACAATTCTTTTGTTTCTCTTAAAGGATTTTTTTTATCGTAAACTTATTTTATTAGGTCACATATAACAGGCAACAAATCTAGGTCATTATCTTGAGTATGTTTGTATTTTGGTTTATTTTGATAAATAAACACTTTAAAGGAATGTCAAATATAGAGACTTTTAAAGTTTATTTAAAAGATTTATCATGTTGCAGTCTCAGTGAATAATCCATTGTTAACCTTTGCTCTGCTGGGACTGAAAGTGATTTGACTTTCTCACCAGTATAGTCAGACTGCACAGAAGCTCACATTTTGTATTTTGATATTGACACCCCTCATATTTGAATGGACTATTACAAAATCAATGCTGTGCAAGTCCATTACATATTTGGGCTAATAGTAATTGACTAATATTATTAATCTTAAATTTTTGTTTTTTTTGGTATGGATTCACAGTGGATAACTGCTATTCAGTGGAGTTTCAGATTGAATGAGTCAATGTTTTAAGTCAATGTCTAAGTCATTAAATAAATTGGTTGAACAAGCAGACCATTGAGGTTATATATCAGGGAGCATCCAACCAATCAACTGACACTCTTGTTTGTTTAAATGGTAAAGCATTTGTCCTTTTTAAAAAATCAGAGAATAGTTTCTTAAATCCTTATTGTCCTTTAGTGTTGTTTTTATGTTGAAGTAACTGACCATTCAGAATTATGGCACAGATAGCAAGCTATCTATCTAATTCCACAAGAAAAAACAACATGTTTTTGGCAGTAGATTTGTATTTTATAATATACTGTATAGAAAGCTATAATCTTTGTAACATTCAGCCTATTGATTTGCTGTATTTAGAAATGAATTTGTTACATGACATCACATCCAGTAAGATGTTTCTTTCTAAAAAGGTCAAGGTCATGAAACTGTTCGGTTTTCTTTTTTTCTTTTTTTTTAATCTAATTTTTCTTTCTGTATTTTTTTTTTTATTTAATGGGTACCTTTCATATTTGCAATTTATGTTTTTCTTTGTGTGTATTTAAAAATGAATTTGTTCCATGGCATAACATCATATATTCATTTAGATATTGCTTTAAGGTCAAGGTCAAGCGACTTTAAAAAAAAATCTATTAAGTCTCCATCAGACTGGCATTTATATTTCCTTTGTTTATATATTTAGATTTTAGAAATTAATTTGTTACATGGAATCGCATCATTATACGCAGGGAGATTAATTATTTTCTTTAAGGTTAAGGTCATGGAACGTTTTTTTTAAATTCATTCAGATAGCAGGCAGATGCGCTTTTATATTAAATTCTTTGTAAAGTCGATCATTATAGTACAATTAAGTCAGCAATATATCATATAATCAGACAAACTAGGCTGATGAAACTGCCTGATATAAACCATATAAATATAATTATGTATCAATGCATTTGGACTGCCATTCTTCAGTACTTAAAAGTGTTATTGATCATATAGTCATAACATGTTGCTTTTTTGTGCAAATCTTTGGGTTTTTTGACATTGATTTCTGGATGAGGAAACAATTTGTGAAATATGATAAATTGACATGTTTACTGGAATATGTGACATAAAAACACATTCCCAATTCATAATTATAGTGTACTGTTGCAATGTTGAGCTAAAAAATTATATAGGGTATTTAGTGACCTTTTAAAAACCTGATCTAGCTGAAATTGAGAAATGAACTAGTCCAACTTGGAATTTGGAATGGACCATTATTAATTTAAGGGAAGAAAATACTAAAATTCAACTGTAGATAATGAGGCTAATCAAAATGCAGGAACAGACTGGATATTTGTGTTGAAGGTTGGTTGAAACATTTGCAACTT